CTTCAGGAGCTGAGTCACGGCTCTGATGGGGGAGCAGATCTCATCCCCCTCCCCATCCTCCAAGCTACTGAGGAGACCCTAGAGGGCAGGAGAGGAGGCCTTGGTCTGTGGTCCGTGGGGATGGGGAGGGGAGAGCTGAGTGGTGTGGGCCCTCAGGACAGGGCCCTCTGCTGACTGCCCACCTTGCCCCCATGAGCACATCTGTCAGCATCCAATGCAGCCCCACCCTCACCAGCTCTCTGGGGACCTGGTGCCATCCCCCCAGAGGTGACAGCTCTTCACACAGCTGCCCAGGGCCTCTGGGGTGGCTGGGACGCCAGGAGCTGTGTCTCCTTCTGCAGTACCCTGTCCTAAGTGGGTGGCGCTTCCATACCTAGGGACCCTCAGAGAGTCAGGGAGAGGCTACAGTGGTGGTCATGGTCCCTGAAGTCCGAGCCTCCTGGAGACCCTGTCACAGTTGGCCAAACCTCAGGCCAGGGCATCCTGCTGGGGCATAGGCCACCACCAGTCCAAGCAAAAGTCCCCTCTGACCCCTCCCTGTTCTGGAACTCAGAGTCCCCTAGGCCCCTAGGGAAGGAATGGGGCTGCTCAGAGAGGAGGAGGTCCGGGGGAGCATCCATTCTCTCAGTGGCACTCTCCCCAGAGCCCCTAATTGAGGGCATGCTGGGCTACCCACCATGTGGGGGACTAGGTCCCTCCCCCAAGGGAAACCCTGGAACACGCCCCTCCCCTTACAGTCACGGGGGTGGGGGGCAGCGAGAGCCGCTAGACAGATCTGGACAGCCTCCTCTCTGCTTGACTCACCCTAGACCTGGCCCTGGAGGCCTATCTCCATCCCCTGGCCTGAGCCCCACTGCCCACTGTCCTTTGCCCCCAGGAGGCCAGATGGGCCCAGCTTGCCAGCTGAGTGGGTTGGGCGGGGTGCTGGGATACTGGCCCTATTTCCCTATTTCCTGTTCCCGGAGCATGGAGGGGGTTGGTCACGTGTGTGATCCATCTGCCTCTCGCTTTCCTTCCGGGATTCTCTGTCCAGTGGCTTCTCTGGTGATGTCATGCGTTAACTCTTCCCTCCCTGGCAGCCCCATTGTCAGGCTGCCCCAGAGGGAGTGGGCTCCCTCAAGGTCTGAACCCCCTGCCTCCAGACAGACAGTGCCCATTTGGTATTTTGAGGTTGGGGGAGTCAATAGGAGGGGGAGCAGTCCCCTGCAGCTGGTCTGGGGTCTCACGGTGCCACAGAACAGACAGGCCTGCAGGCTCTGGCTGAGACAGGCCTGCCCCAGGGTCCACCTGTCCCAGGCTGGGGTGGGCTGCAGCAGGAGCTGAGGGATGGGGGCATCCAGTGGGGTCTGGGGTCAATTCTGAGACCTGAAGAGGTGCAGGGGCTGGAGGGGGTGACCAGTGAGGCTTGGTGCTGGCCCTGCATCTGCACCTCCACTGGGGCTGTGGCCCCTCCCTCTGTCCTCGGGGCTTGTCTGACCTCCCCCCAGCCCTGGGTTCCAGACCCCAAGTGGGAGCATCACAGCCACCTGGCCTCTTCTTGCCTAGGGTGGTGGTGGTCCCGGCAGCTCTGGAGTCAGGGACCTGGGTCCTGTTTTGTGCCCTTCCCATCCCCACGCCACCCCAGGGCGGTGACTGCCTCTCCCAGACTTGTCCTGGTCTGTCTGAGGGACATGGAGGCAGGTGGGCCTACAAGAGCCAGTGGCCATCGGCAGAGCAGCCCCCTCCCACCACAGACCCCTTTGAGGAGGCGCGCAGGTAGATGAGGCCGGGCCTAAGTCGATGGGGGAGGCCCTCTGCGGGTGAGTCTCCAGCTACCCTGTCCCTCTTGCAGGGCAACTATCGATGAGGTGGAGACAGACGTGGTTGAGATCGAGACCAAACTGGACAAGGTAAGGGATGGGGGCCTGGGTGCACACCGAGGGTCCAGGGCTCTTCTCCCTGTCCCCATGCCCAGCCCTGGCCCAGCTCACCCACAGCCACCAGTGTGGGTGTACGTGTGTGCAGGACGTGGGTCTGTCGCTGGCCCCAGCTGTGGTCTGCCATACCCATCCCAGGGTGCACCTGTGTCTGCCCGGGTCTCATCCTACCGAGCTGAGCAGGGGTGGGCTGTGGTGGGGACAGTGCCTCTGAGTGACTGGGTTAGGGGCCCAGGGCACAAACAAGGGAGGGAGGAGGGGCAGCACCCTTCAGCTGCCTTGCTGGCTGGTCCCACTGACCCCTGGCCCATACCTCACGCCCACCCCAGCCCTGGGTTACCAGCTCGGGGTTTCCCCGTCCTGCTCTCACCCCTCACCCTGGATCCAAGGCCTGGGCAGCCCGAAGCTGTCCTCCCGGCACCAAGCGGGCTCAGGAGGGCAGGCAGGCAGGCAGTGGGGCTCCCTCCCCTCCTGGGGCTGCTCAGGGCAGCTGTGTCCTGGGCACTGCTGGGCCCTGAGCTGAGTTCCGGCTGTCTGTGGGTGGCCCCGCCTGAGTGGCCTGGCCTCTCAGTGGTGAGGGCTGGGGCTCACTGGTGGCGTGGGTGTCCCCTTCCTGTCTGCAGCTGGTCAACTGTGCAGTGGCATGATCGAGGCCGGCAAGGCCTACGTCACCACCAACAGGCTCTTCGTGAGTGGCGTCCGCGACCTGTCCCG